GTTTTGAGTTGATTAGCTGATTGGCATGTCACCATATTCTAATTTGCTGAGATAGTGAATTGGTGGGTTTTTGTTAAATGTGAGCCAAAATCATCACAATTAAAAGAACCAAAGACTTAAACTACTTCAGTCTGTGTGCATTGAATTTATTTAATACACGAGTTTCACAATTTGAGTTGAATTACTGAAATAAAGGAACTTTTCCACGACATTCTAATTTATTGAGATGCACCTGTATATACTGTACATATATATCAGGGCTCGACAATAAGGACTGCCCGATGGCCCGGGGCCAGCATGAAAGACGTTCGGGACAGTAGACGGATTTGTCACTTGCCCGATCGGGCCACTGTAGCGTCGGCACAACATTTTATCATTTGCATGTGTTTTTAAGGGGTTAATTTAAAATTCAAGTGATTAAAAAGCATTTGGGTTTGAAAGACAACTCCTTTCAGTACTCACGCTGTGTTCTGTGTGAACAGCGTACACACAGACAGCCGCATCTCTGACACACGCGAGCCGCTTGAACGGGCCAATACATACAAAAGTATGTCAAAATACCCATCCTGGCAAGTAACTTTGTAGCTTTAACAATGATTAATCTATATTGAATTTATACACTGGAGTACAGATGCACCGATCTACCGGACATTTTTTGTTTTATTTCAGACTATCTTCTGTTCCGTGCTTGCACACAAACTGCACTGTAATCATTTACCCAATGGCTATTTGTGTGGAAATATTACGTTATTATTATACTTAGTCTGTAAACGGCCATTAACAGAGGCCAGAGATGCTGAATGTTGCGTTAGGATGGCTGTTTGTCGAGTTTTGTGTTAAAACAAGCCAGGTGAGATGAACGTAATGACATTCGCAGCTTTCTGCCTATCAGCAGTTCTGCAGGACTATATCCATTGGCTAATGGTGTTGCCCGATACTCCATAAGAGCAAGGTATGGATCTGCTGCTTTGCTAAGAAAATCCTTCACAGTCCTCACTGCCCTTTCAGCTTCCCCATTGGCTTGTGGATATCTGGGACTGGACGTTGTGTGAGAGAAACCCCACTCTTTAGCGAATTTCTTGAAGTATTCTGCACTGAACTGTGGGCCATTATCTGACATCACTTCAGTAGGAATTCCATGACGAGCAAACATACTTTTGAGATGGGTTACTACGCATGCGGCAGTTGTTGATGACAGTTTTGCTATTTCCACAAAAGTAGTCAATCACCAGCAAGTATTGATCGTCCTTCCACTGAAACAGATCTGCTCCAACCTTTGTCCAAGGTCTCTCAGGCAATTCAGTGGGAATCAATGTCTCTTTGAAGTTCTTCCGATGGCTTGCACAAATGTCACACTTCTCCACCTTCTGCTAAAGCTGTGCACTGAGACCTGACCACCATACTGATTGCTTTGCTCGTTCTCAACACTTAGTGTGCAGTGTGCAATTTTTCCAAGATATCACTCTGTAAAGATTTCGGAATTACCAGTCGACAGCCTTTTAACAGCAGTCCGTTTTCTACCGTTAACTCTCAAACACTATGTTGTCCATGTGGCACAGAACACCCTCTAGACCCTCCAGCATCTGTGACATTCTCTTTTGGAAATGTTCTGGGGCTGAAGATATCCTAAAACAAAGTCGGTTGAAGCAGAACCTTCCAAAGGGGGTAATAAAGGTTGTGAGAAGGGCTGAGTTCTGTGACAGAGGAAACTGCCAATACCCTGAATTGGCATCCAATTTCGAAAAGACTTTGGCTCCTATAAGCTGACCCAGAGAGTGTTCCACCGAAGGAAGAATGCATCTTTCCCTATTTACTGCATTATTGAGTTTGGTTAAGTCCACACATATGTGTACTGCGCCACTGGGTTTTGGAACAACAACCATACCTGCGCACCAGTCAGTTGGTTGTTCCACTCTGGTAATCACACCTTGATTCTCCATGTGTTCCAATTTCTGTTTCACTTTTGACATTAGGGGCAGTGGAATGCGACGGGGAGTTGACAGTGAAAAGGGCTTGGCATCTGGCTTTAGAGATATCTCATACTCTCCACAGTGACGTCTGCTCCCATGTCCAAACCACTAATCTGTCCTGAATCATTTCACTATATAAGTGTCCATATCCACAATGCTCTGCCAGGCAATGTAATGCTGTGATGAAATTATCTGCAGACTCTCCTGCTTCTTGCTGTCTCATGTTAAACTTTGCACGTTCAAATATTACATTTCTTCGCACAACAAAGTGCTCATTCAGTCTCTCTATGACAGTATTATACTCACTGAGCTGTTCTGATGTGAGACGTAATGATGTGAGGATGTCCTCTGCCTCATCACCCATTGTATAAATGAGAGTATTCACTTGGTTCTATTCTGGCTGTAATTCAAGTCCAGATGCCACTCTAAATCTTTCAAATCTTTTACTCCACTTTGGCCATTCCTCTGGTTTTGAGAAATCTAATTTTTGCGGTGGCGGTACCTGAAACCGATCCATTTTCTCTTATTCCGCAACTCTCTTCTCTGCACGTGATGAACGGTCTCGTCTCCGAAGTTTCACATTAAGTAGCGTGAGCTGTATGCAACACTCTTGACGAAAGGGCTCTTTATGTCCTCCTACGCCGTTCTCGTGCAAACTTCTGACACCATGTTGCGTTAGGATGGCTATTTGTCGAGTTTTGTGTTAAAACAAGCCAGGTGAGACGAACGTAATGGCATGCAACTTTATTGTTCAAGCCTCTCACTCCCCCACTAGGGGGTAGTAGTTCACCATATCACCACACTGAAGATGGACACTAAGGGGCTGTTTACACCTGGTCACTTCATGCGTTTTGTCTGATCAGATGGCTATCCGATCGTGAAAAGGCCAGGTGTAAATGCCCTCCGAAACGCATTCGAGACAGATATAAATCTGATCACTCAAACCACTTCAGGAGGTGGTCTGGGCCGCATTCCAGACGAAACTGGACCAGTGTAATCGCGCTTTTCCACTGCGTGGTACGACTCGGCTCGGTACGGCTCAGTACGGTACAGTACAGTACGGCACGGCTCGGTTCGCGTTTCTACTGCAGTTTAGTATCGCTTTACAGTGGGCGG